TACCAGAGCTGGACTGCAGACCACAGCCATCTTCCTTCACAGATCCTCAGAGGTTTACACAGGGGAAGTGTCCTTCCTGAAGGAACAGAGCTTTCCGCTTGATAGTATTTAGATCTTCACAGCAAAACAACATTAACTTCTTTAGTCAGCATGCCAGTCCTTAACATACTCGGAAATTTAAGAAGACCAAGTGTTTGTTAATATGCCATCCACTGGAGTACAATGCCTGATTTCTTAGGAAGCCATTGACTCACTAAAAGCAGGCCCCTTCCAGCTCAGACCCATGGGAGGTTTGAACCAAGGGTTACTCTGCCCACAGGGACTGATTGAGCGGCTGGAAGGTTCGATGGCCGACTGTCCTCTTGTTTAACAGCTTCATGTGGGATTTCCTGTCCCCAGGGGTGTGGCAGAGCAGAGTATCCAATGTAAAAGTGGTGACCTGGCCATTTATGTGCAGTTTCCCATAGATCTCATCAAATCTTGCTAGAAGGGCAGGCACATCCTTCACTTTTTCCCTCGCTTTGGCCAGCTGGAAAAAGAAAAGCAGATCATTATATGTCTGCAAGATTTCTTCCTTGTTCTTCTTATCCTCCAAGAAGCAGAGATACAAATGCATAAAAATGTACGGTATATACCTATATGATGAAAACCAGGGTACCAGGGCACACAGAAGTATGAACGGATTCCACAAGCTATACACAAAATTCAGAATTAGTACCTGAAAATCATTCCTAATATCTCAGAAAAAGGGTGTTCAAATGGTACATAATATACAATGAAACATAACAGGATAAAGAGTCAAATAGCAGTGGAAACAAAGTTTGCCCAATTTAACAATCAGAGAGGGAGGTGGGGCCAAATTATGTGAAGGTTTATAGCACATGGTATAACTTTTCTGGAATTCATTCTAGAAGCCACCAGAAGGTCCAAATTGGGACATGATCTGACTTAGGTTTAAACGGCTGTGTAGTGACATGGAGGGTGAAGGCTAATTGGGAGGCCAGTATCATATCCAAATAAGAGAGGATGACAGTCTAGACTGAAAAATGTATACATAAGATGGAGAAATAGATATATAACAAGTATATTTGGGAGGTTCAACTGAAAGGATTTATTGTTGAAGATGTCAGGAAAAGGGAAGAATCAAAGATATCTTCCCAATTTGGCTTTAACAACTTGGTGACGGGTGAGGTCATTAATGAAGACAGGGAAGATGGGAGGGCCAGATTTGGAGGGGGAACAAATCAAGAGTACTGTTTTGGACATGGGTGAGATGCCTGTGAAAGGTCTAAATAGGTAAGTCAAGGGACTGTTAGATATATACCAATATAATGCAAGGAGGAGACCAAAAGTATAAAAAGTATAAATATTTAGACCAAAAGTATAGATATAGTCACAAGTGTATAAATGCTATTTAATTCTATAAAAATAGGTGAGGTCAAAATTATAATGCAGAGCTACTTTGCAAACAAAATCAACATTTACTTAGTTCAATCCTTATTAATGATACAACCCATGGTACCTGGGTGGCTCAGTTGGTTAAGCATCCTACTCTTGATTTTGGCTCAGGTCATGATCTCTGGGAAGTGAGATGGAGCCCTGCATCAGGCTCCCTACTCAGGGTGAGTCAGCTCTCTCTCTCTCTCTTTCTCCCTCTCTCCTTCTGTCCCTCCCCCAACTTGTGCACACGCACACACATTCTCTCCCTCTAAAAAATAAATAAATCTAAAAAACAAAAAAACAAAAGACTTCCCTTTAAAAAGAAATGATAGAACCTAACATTTCTTTGTTTCTTTCCTTCCTTCCTTTTTTTTTTTTTTTAATTTATTTATTTGACAGAGAGAGCGAGACAGCAAGAAGGGAAACATAAGCAGGAGGAGTGGGAGAGGGAGAAGCAGGCTTCCCAGTGAGCAGGGAGCCCAATATGAGGGTCAATCTCAGGACCCTGGGATCATGACCTGAGCCAAAGGCAGACGCTTAACGAGTGAGTCACCCAGGCGCCCCCAAGTAAACATTTTCTGATGAAATTTACTTGTATTCCAGGTCCCTAAGAAATCCTCTGGTCATCTTCTAAATGTATCATAACCTTATTTGCTGCTGGCATACCTTTCTTTCAAACAAGGCCTCCCCATTGAACCTTGAGGTAAGAAGTTCTATAGCACTTTATTATGTTCTTAAAAAGAATAGCTTCTTTATTCCCTACCTCATATGGTAGGTAAAATGACTTGAGGTGAAGCATATGGTTTCCCAAAGCAGCCAAGCAAATATACCAAGCTGGAGATAACTTTGCTCTAAATGCATAGACCACATCAGTTCTCTCTCACAAATATCAAATGGTGTCATTAGAACCATTCTATGGTTTAAGCAGAAAAGAGATTGTACTCCATTGTTAGTTTAGTTTCAAAAAAGAAATCAATGAAGCAACAGTTGATGTTTGGAGTGGTTTTAGTCATAGTAATTAAGAATATCAATAACTTTCCAAATTCCTCTGGTGGTATACCAGCACCTGATCTCCACACACGAGACATCTCTAACAACTGCTGGTATCAACACCCCACAGCGCATCTGTACGACACAAGTGTTACAGGGGACCCTCTGCACCTACTGTCTGGCAGGCATACTCTGAGCTGGCCCAAAGGCTGCTGGAGTCAGAGCAGTCCCTTATTTCTCGATAGCAGTTCCCTGCACGGCCCCACAACAGCCAGCGAACACACACGATGACAGGCAGAGCTTTTGAAGTAGATCAGTCTTATAGACTTTGGGGGAAAAAATATCAGATAAAAACCCATATTTTTCAATATGGAGTTTGGATGCTTAAGTCATGTAATTGGGACAACATATGGCTGGACCAGGTCTAAGTAGAGTGACTCACATCAGTGCTATTGAGAAAACTGAAGTTGTGTCAGTAATGGATGTACACAATTGTGCACTTTAAAACCTGTTTATTTTTTTTTTTTAAAGATTTTATTTATTTATTTGACTAAGAGATCACAAGTAGGCAGAGAGGCAGGCAGAGAGAGAGGGGGAAGCAGGCTCCCCACTGAGCAGAGCCCGATGTGGGGCTCGATCCCAGGACCCTGGGATAGTGACCTGAGCTGAAGGCAGAGGCTTTCACCCACTGAGCCACCCAGGTGCCCCTAAAACCTGTTTATATTTCCAGTTCCCCTTCCTTTTAAAAACATACTCCAAAAGGGCTTGGGTGGACCACCACCTACAGAAAGCTAAGAATTATAATAGAAAGGAGCTTTAAATTAACTGAACCCTGTCAGTTTCCTGACAAGCAACCTTTGCCAGCAGGAAGAAGCGTTTGGGTGGAAGTGTGGAAATGAAAAGAGTCTGGGAGGGCAACAGTGTGGCAGAGGGGGAGAAAGGAGCCAGCTGCGCTCTACCACCAATCCTGCTATCTCAGACTCGAGCAGGGACCTGTACTATCAAAATCCAAGGGAGGGAGGAAGAAGCTAGCAACAGGCCCCTTCCTAAGTCAAAATGACAACACCAAGACCATTACTAACAAACTGATCGCTGCCAGTAATTTATGATTTCTTTACAGTTTTTTCCCTTTAGCTATAGATTTACAAATTACTAAATTTCAAATGACTTACAGTAACTCTTCTTTGTGTCCCCCCTTTTTAAAAAGATTTTATTTATCAGAGAGGAGAGTGAACGAACGCACAAGCAGGGGGAGCAGCAGGCAGAGGAAGAGGGAGAAGTGGACTCCTTGCTCAGGAGCCCCAATGTGGGGCTTGATCCCAGGACCCTGGGATCATGACCTGAGCTGAAGGCAGACGCTTAACCCACTGAGCCACCCAGGCATCCCGTCCTCTTTGTGTGCTTAAGCCATCAGTGTGAGACATGGGTTCATTCAATTTTTGGAAATTGCTTACCATTTTTATTTAATTTTGTTTTACAGTTTTGCAGAAACATTTATACAGTTCCATTAGCTTCCCTATTTAGTACCTAAAACCACAGTTCTAATTATACAAACCTTAATAGGGTTTTATATCAGCAGGTCTAGTACCTCTTCCTGCTCTTCTTTCACAGGGTTTTCCCAGTTATTCTTGTTAGTTTGTTCTTTCTAGTAAACCTTAACTAGAGAAAAAAAACCTAATGGCACTTTTATTAGGATGTTACATAATCACTTGGGAAGAACTGATTTGATGGGGTTGAGTCTTCCTATCTCAACACACAGCATGTCTTGTCATTTGTTTAAATAGGGAAGACTTTTTTGTTAATGACTTTTTTATTTGAGAGATGGCGAGTGAGAGAGCACAAACAGTGGGAGGGGCAGAGGCCAAAGGAGAAGCAGGCTCCCTGAGGAGTGAGGAGCCCAACGATCTGAGCCAAAGGCAGACATTTAACCGACTGAGCAGCCCAGGCCCCCAAGACCTTTTTTATTAGGATGAGAAATACTGTAGCTGATTGTTTGCTGATAAGAAAGATCCACAGGGAAGGGGATATTAATGATGCTCAAAAGAGAGTAAGACATCTTTCGAACTGATGCCCTGCAGTGGGTCAGAGGGATGGGCTCCAGGGCTCAATGGGGGAGCCTGCTCTAGAGAGGTGTGGATGGTCACCATGGGCTCAGCACGATGGGAAGAGGTTGTCCCTGCAGCAGCATTCTCTGTGGATTGCTTCCATTTCCTCCATGAAACAGGAAGCAGGGGTAGGGGAGTGGGGAGAAGGCACCGGAGGCTTGAGGAGAAAGGAAAGCAAAAAGGGGAGCAGGATCCAGTAAAACAGTGTGTGTGGGGGGGGGGGGGGGGGAGCAGGATGGTGAGAAAAAAGTAAAAGGACAAAGTTTTCCTAGAATTTCAGAGGGTATTTTCTGTTGCAAGAAAAAGATTGTTGCACCCAAACTCAGAAGTCTTATAATAGGAAGAGAGGTGTTGCCATATTTGACACTCTTTAAGGTGGCAGCCTGGAGAATGAAGACAGCAAGTGCACATTTTAATGAGAGCCCTTTCACCTTTAAATGATTTCTGCAGCAATCCCATACTCACCACTTCTTCTGAGAACTCTTGTCTTCTCACAAATTTTGATAAACTTCCTTCTGCTGCATCCTTTAGTATCTCTATGAGGGTTTTCAACATATTTGCCTGGATATGAATCAAAATCTGAATACAAAAAACAAACAAAACCAAGACTGGGCCAGGGCTCAACAATGAGGTAAGTACTCTGCTATACCAGCCTACATTTACAGGCATCTACCTGCTTTCATGCTATTTCCTAATTCATTCTCTTGCGTAAGTTGAAAAATACCTCAAATATATGTCTACCAGCCAAAACTTATTTTCCAATAGCTAATCAAAACATTTCAACTTCAAAGCTTGCTTAAAGGTAGAAATGCAGAAAATAGGGATTGTGGAGTCTGGTACATTTGGGCTGGAATCCTGGCATGAATGGTCATATATTTAATCTCTTACAACTTCTGTATTTGTAAAATGAGGAAAATAGGTTTACATCTTACATTTGAGTTACTGTGAACGTCAAATAAAATGCCAGCACACAGGAGGTACTCAAACATTACTAACAGTTTCTTCCTCCCTAGTCCTTCTAGATTCAGAGGAGAAGACAATCACACAATCTTGTAAGACTGACTCTGGGGCAAAAGAAACCTTTACCTTTGTTTATTTATTTACATTAGGAAGTTGTAGGCAAATCAGTTGCTGGAGGTATAAAGTGGAAGCTGGTTCAAGGCTTAATGAGGTAGTCCTATTTACACTGCAGCCATTAAGAAACTTTCAAAACTGGGTACTGTACTTGGCTTTTAAAATGATACCACTAACTACCTTCCATCAGATAGACACAATTAAGAAAAGAAAAATTTCCCAGGCGCCTGGGTGGCCCAGATGGTTAAGCGTCTGCCTTCGGCTCAGGTCATGATCCTGGAGTCTCAGGATAGAGTCCCACATCAGGCTCCCTGCTCAAGAGGGGGTCTGTTTCTCCTTCTGACCCTCACCCACCTCATGCTTTCTCTAATGTTCTCTCTCTCTCTAAAATAAGTGAATAAAATCTTAAAAAAAAAAAAAACCAAACCATATTTCCCCTTTTCTTTACCAACGTTCTCTAGTACAATTTGAAAAATACAGAAAGGGTTAAAGAAAACAAGAATAAGCCAGAATTCCCCAACTAACGTTATCTGCTGTTTAATATATTTGGACATGAAATTATAATTTCATGTTTAATATATTTGGACATGAAATTATAATTTTCCTCTGATCTGATGCTGCTTCCTGTCAATTGTTATACAATTATTATTTTCTCATTAGCAAATTATAGAATACCTCATTTTTAATAATGAATGCATAGCAATCCATCATATACATACAATGATTCATTAAGCAATACCACTCTTCAATATATTGATAAATGTGTATATATTAAAAAAAAAATCTTGTTAACTTCTAAGACTTGATTTTCCCAGAAGTGAAATTACAAAGTCAAAGGATGTAACCATTTTAAAGGCTCTTGATCCTTTGGAAAAGTAGTGTTTTGGAAGAGCTATTCCTTTTTTTTATAGCAAACCAGCTAAGTTCTTTCTATAGTCCATTTTATAACAATTTAAGTTTGATTATCTTTGGTCCCAAGGAACAGAATGAAAAGATTCCAAGTAGACTAAATCCAAAGAACCCAATGTAAGCCCAGTGTTCTAAAGCAAAGGCAAAATCATGAACACACCTTTCATTAGGAGGCAACACTCCACAGATTTCTCACATTCAAGCAGAAGCTTTTGTTCCAGACTATTTTTCCAATACTGCCTTTGTTCCAGGCTATTTTTTCAAGGATATGCATATGACCAACACCTTGGAAAGACATACGCGGTGCCACATGCAGACAAAAGGGCAGGCATGCTTACTGCCCATTTTGAGAGATCTGAGTTCTCCAAATTCAAGACCCCTCTCTTAAACTATAACCTCCTGTACGTATAAAAAGAATACAGACCTCATGTCACCCTATGGGAATTGGATTTAAGAAACTAATGCAAAATGCAAATGTTGTAGCTACTACCACTGCTCTAATTAATAAACTGCACTTTACCTCTCCGTGACTTGTGAACTCTACTGTATCACAAACTATGGAAGATTAACTCATTAGCTTAAAAGTAGGGTAAAATCTCTTACTAATAGTACTTCAAAGTCTTGTTAATAAAAACCAGCTGACTGGGTTGGCAGCTATCCTATTGAGGGCAAGGAGAAGCTGACCTTGTTACATCTTATGTCTCTAGTGCCTGGCACCTAGTAGACCCTCAACAATAATGAATGAGAAGAGCTGAGGTCCCCCGGCAATTTACACAGACAAGTCTCCTAGAGCTCCATGCTAGAAACTATTAACGATGTGCTCCTGGAAGATTTCAACATCTCTTCCTAAGTTTTCCCAACTTCTCTCCCTGCCTCCAGCAACTATCTCTGACTCAGAAGGGATTTCAAGAGTCAAGTTCAATTCCTCGAAATATACTGATGAAGGGCAATAGAGATGAGGCAGTTACTGATAAAAAACCAAGAAACAATGTAAAGCTAGGAGAGCTTGTCTCAACTGAAACCTTAGGTTATGGTTAAGGTAAACTAGATCAAGGTACAGCACACTGCTTTAATCTTACAAATTCCAAACAAAAGGCTAGGAAAATTAGCAAGGAATAGGGGGGAATTTAGTTAGGAAAAACTATTCAAACAACTATGGAAGGACACTTCCTGCCCCTCTGATTTTCTGAAACCCTAAGAAATGTTCACAAATCATTGGATGTCTTTGACCAAAAAAGGGAAGAGAGGCCCTGACCATGCAGTAATTTGCATTTCATCTTTTCCTTTTCAAGTTTGCTATATTTGAAGTAGAATACCATAGTGGAGTAGGGATTGCTAGTTTTCTAAATAGTATCCATCCCTCCTCCTTTTTTTGATTAACAGAACTCCCTAACCTCAGCTAATGCTGCCATGTACCAAACTCAAAGACTGTATTTCTCAGGTTTCTTTGCTACTAGGTATGGTCACAGGATTATGTTCTTGCCAATAACATGTAAGTACAAGTGGCTGGGTGAGACATCCATTGTCTCCACGGATGACATGGAGACATGAATGGAAAGAGACATCCATCCATTCATGGAGACATCCATTCTTCCTACTTCTTGCTGGAATAGGTGTAATGGATGGAAATCATATGCTCAGGACGATGCTGTGAAAATACAGAAAGAGGCTGGGTTCCTGATGTTACCCTAAAATGTCACACCAGACCCAAACTGACCATCTCTGGTTCTCTACATGGAAGAAAAACAAAGCTGTTCATTTGTATAGACTCTTATTTTTCTCAAGTCTACACTGCTCTCAACTAAAATGCAATTCTTAACTTCCAGGCGAGATGCTGCCACAAAGGGATTTATGAGAAATGAGTTCTGTCTCCTTGCCTACCCCATGCAGCCTAGGAGACTTCCTAGCATGTGCTCTCACTTTAGGGTGACCTTAGTGACTGGAGAAAGGGGCATTAAAACATTTATCTGTGTTGACAAATAATGATAAAAGCAGCAAAACTAACCAACTGCCTATTCCTCTGCAAGGTAATTCAATTCCAAAACGGGTGTCCATTTGGAGACATGCCTTATTTCTAGAGACATGATTAGAATTCAAATAGCACCAGTGGAAAGCTACCCCATGTTGTCTTGGCTACTTTCAAACATATTTAGAAGTGAAAATTAATCCTTTGATATTGATCAACACTGCTAAAGAGGGGACTATAGTTCTTTTGAGATTGATGGGTTTAAATTCAGACAGCAGAGCCAAAATGCATGTGCCTCAATGAGATCATCTGCTAAATCAATTCAGTGTGTAGCAAGTATTAGCTGGGAAAATGGAAAATCAGGCCCTCTGGGTTGTATTGGCAGCAGAAGCAATTTTGATGAAAAGAAAATTAAGTTGAGGGGGGAAAAATGAGGTGAGTTCAAATTCCAAATGGCAGCAGGAAAAAATTTTAGTATAAGACATTAATTTTTAAAGTAGATCAGAAAAAAAACTTCATTTATTTCTGTTACTACTGACAGACTTTCTACTCAGCCTATTTGTCAGGTTTCTGTTTCTTAATAATTAACAAAGTGCCCTTAAGGATTCCAAGTAGATGACTCAGCCTTAGAGAAGTGAGGGCCCATTAAATCAGTTTTTTAAAACCTGCTCTAATAACAGAGATCTGAATCTGAAAGATTATTAAGCCTTAGAATGGCAGCCACCTCTTTTTCAATATCCCTAAGGAAGCCAAAACAGATTTACACTGAAATATGACCAACTTAGACTGGACATTTGGAAAAAGTTCCTGAGTGAGCATTTTTAAACAATAAAGTGGTCTTTAATTAAGTTTCGGAACAACATATACTTCTGTGACCCAATTCATGGAGGGGATGATTCATATTCAAGATCAGTTCAAGGTTCCTTACATAGCGCTTGCCCAAAATATGCTCATTCCACCAAGTTTAACTGGCTACATTTCCTTTCTAGCTCTCAGAGAACAGGAGCTACTCCTGCTGCTTGGGCTCATTAGCATATTCCTACCATGCTCTGGATTTCTCCTCCTATACGAACAGATAGCTTCATTCTCAGCAGCCTATGTTTTATTTCCAACAAAGCACTCTCTCATATGAAAAAAAAATTATTACTAGATTCTCATAACCACTGTGACAGATAGCCAAGGATTGCAAGAGTTGAAGCATCTAAACTGAGGGACAAGGAGTGCGTGTAGTACCGGCAAGTTGGCTTTTTGACATCCACTCCTATATCCTTTTCATCATTCAGGAGGTGCAGCTAATGCCAGTCCTGGATTAGAAAAAGACACACCCTTGTCTCTGTAGGTCTCGAGTGGTGGGGAAACCCTTGACTTTGTAGTCAAACATTTTTGTGTTAAAACTCTGACTCTGCTACATAATTAGCTTCAAGAACTTAGGTGATTAATTACTCTTTGAATCTCCATTTTCCACATGTATGATATGGCCAAATATTGTTTTTACAGTATCATATAAAACAAACCAATGAATACTAAGTAGCTAAATTAAATTAAAACTGCTGATCTGAACCTTGGAGTTCAATTTCTCACCACCAACCCTTTTTGATCCCTCCAAGCTCACTTCAACTCTAAGAAAAGCTACCAGTGACCCATACAACACTCCTCTCACCATACTCCCGTGTACGTCTTTCCCGCAGGATGCTATGAACCACCTAAAATGCTAACAATTCTACTTCTGTCCCAATCATGAAATGAGTTCATTTGCAGGCCTCTCTCTCTCTCTCTGAAGCAATGATACACTTGGATACCCAGAGCTGTCCAAATCCAGTAGGAAGCAGAGAAGAAGGTACAACACATATGGCACCTGCTGGGAGGCCAGGCTTTCTAACGTGTTTGGCTTACTGATATAGTTGGCTTGAATGACGTGAACTTCTGGACTTTGGACCTTTACCACTTTGACTTCCCAAATCTGCTCATGCCTGTGAGCTTTTCAGGCTGACCCATCTGTTCTGACCTGCAGTTTCTCCAGAGACATGCAGTCTTGGGATAGGGGCTGTCTCTGCAGCAGGCTCTGACAGGGAGGGCTGTCAGCTCTCTTAGATTTCTATACACTGGTGCTATTTCTTCCCTGTCTTTTTCTGATGATTCCTCTGCCTCACCACTGATGTCTTACTAACTCACTTTGGGGTCCTCTTACTTTTTTTTGTGGCACTTGTCAGTTCCTATCAGACCCACTGCTAGTTTTATATAGATGAGCTCTTAACTGACAGCTCTGACATTCATCCCTCCCTTGAGGCTCATGTACTTTAAAAACTGCAAGATCTCTTTTTGGATACTTTTCTAGTATTTAGTCTCTTCCCTTTCAGAACCATCCTTTTTTCAGGGTCTCCACTATCACTGTGTCCATCTTTCTGGTTGCCTAGGCTCATCCTTCGCACACATGAAAGGAATTTGAAAAGTCAACGTGAGATCAAATATAAAGTAGTCTTATCTCAGACATCTCGGCAACCTTATTGTCCAAAGTTTACTATAAAGGCTCAACTAGTCTTCCTCTTGAAAGTCATCTAGGCACTGTTCTGGGGGTGACATCTGAGGATAATCACTGTAGAAGAAATGAAAACCAAGGAACCTTGGAGTTATGCTGAATTCCTATTCACTAGGTTATAGGATTTGTTACATACAAATATTCTTCTTTATGTAACACACTTCATTTCAAACAAATAAAACTGGTATCACCAAGCATTCACTGAACACTGATTATATGCCAGGTACTATGTTAACTACTTTAAATGCATTATTCTTTCAATTTTCTTAAGGAAAAGACAGTAATGTATTCATTATTACTGCTATTTCAGATAAAAGGAAATTGGGGATCATAGAGTTTAAGTAAGTTGCTTAAGGATGAGCTCAAGGCTAGTAAGAAGTGGTTATGATTAAAAGTTCACAATCTTTTAAATGGAACCTTCAGCAAAACTCATCTCCCAACACAGAATGCCCTTTCACCCTCATCCCTCCAATCCCATGGCCCCGTCCTCCCTCAGACTGCTCAGCAATTCCTCCCTGAGATATGCTCAGTCTGTCCCACTGGTCAGCCCTTCACTCCCCATGCTGCAACACTGCACTGGCTGTGAGCCCTTACCCTAGTTTACACTAGGACAGTTTATACTAGAACACATTTCTGTTCTTCTGACAATGTTTTCCTCACCTTGACCCCTTAACGTTTTGAGACTAAGTTCTTGAAAGTTAGGGGCTTTTTTCCAATGCCCCATAACAGAAGTATACTCAGCATAAACAGGGCCTCAGTAGGGGGTGGCTGAGTGAGGCCAGTGGTCATTGATGTCTCTAATGACCAAAGAGGCTCCCAGTCTTTTTCACTGCTCCAGGAAGGTGTGGATAACTCACTGCTTACTGGGGCAGATGGGCTGTGGCAGGCTGGCAACATTGAATGAAAATAGCTACCATATACCAAGTGTTTACCATGCCAAGCACTATTTTAATGCACCATAGTATACTAAATCCCTATGTTTGGTAAAATGAATCGGATGCAATTAGCACAAAGACTTTTCTCAAGTCTTAGTCAAGAGAAAATGGAGTCCTTCCTCTCTGTATCTACAGCCTTCTGTAGTCATGTGTTATACTTGCAGCATTTAGCTACATCTTATATCTGAGCATATCTACATTTTCCACTGATTCATAAATGCCTGTATTAACTCCTATTACAGGGCCTATACTGTGACACAGAACTCAATAAATCACTCAACTGAATCAAGGTCTTAGGAGATCAAAATTCAACATATATATATAAAAAAATCTAGATATCATTTTACCACCTTCCAAGCTTTACTTTAAACAATTAAGAAGTCACTTACATTTAAATTAGTGCACAGTATGTTTTCTTGCTTCATGATTTGGGAAAAAATGGATATCGCTTTTGCCACCTGGTTCTAGAAGAAAGAAAAACAAGTTATACTCCAAGTCATATGAACATTCCACTGCTATCATAAAGATTGTTTATTTTTTTAAGACTTTATTTATTTATGGGCGCCTGGGTGGCTCAGTGGGTTAAGCCTCTGCCTTCGGCTCAGGTCATGATCTCAGGGTCCTGGGATCGAGTCCCGCATCGGGCTCTCTGCTCAAGCAGGGAGCCTGCTTCCCTCTCTCTCTCTGCCTGCCTCTCTGTCTACTTGTGATCTCTGTCTGTCAAATAAATAAATAAAATCTTTAAAAAAAAAAAAAAGACTATTTATTTATTTGACAAAGAGAAAGAGCACGCACAAGCGGGGTAGCGGCAGGCAGAGGGAGAAGTAGGCCCCCCCATTGAGCAGGGAGCCCAATGCAGGACTTGATCCTAGGATCCCAGGATCATGACCTGAGCTAAAGGCAGACATTTAACCAACTGAGCCACCCAGGTGTCCCACATAAAGATTGTTTAAAGATAGCAGGATATTCCACAGGGCGCCTGGGTGGCTCAACTATTAAGCGTCTGCCTTTGGTTCAGGTAATGATTCCAACGTCCTTGGATTGAGCCCCAAGTTGGGCTCCCTGCTTAGCCGGGAGTCTGCTTTTCCCTTTCCCTCTGCCCCTCTCCTGCTTGTGCATGTGGTCTCTATCAAATAAATAAAAATTTTAAAAATTAAAAAAAAAAATGATAGTAGGATATTCCTGTTCATGGTGCCCCAGGGGTTTTCAAGTCCACAAAGAAAAGGTTTTTCTGGTAATTGAAAATGAACTTTCTTATATCAAATATTTCTTACAGTTGCATCTTACTGAATTTTTTTTTAAAGATTTTATTTATTTATTTGACACAGAGAGAGAGATCACAAGTAGGCAGAGAGGCAGGTAGAGAGAGAGGGAGGAAGCAGGCTTCCCTGCTGAGCAGAGAGCCCCATGTGGGGCTCGATCCCAGGACCCTGAGATCATTACCTGAGCTGAAGGCAGAGGCTTTAACCCACTGAGCCACCCAGGCACCCTGCTGAACTTTAAAAATGCCTCCAAAACATAATTTTTATTGAAGTAGAGTTGACACACAATGTTGTAATAGTTTCATGTGTACAACATAGTGATTCAACAACTCTATACATTATGCTATGTTCACCACAAAGGTAGCTGCCACCTGTCACCATACAGCACTAGCACAATGCCATCAACTATATTCCCAAGGCTCTGCCTTTCATCCCGTGACCTATGCATTCCAAAGCTGAAGATTACTGAATGTTTTAATAATCTGCCTGCATTCCAGTTTTTAAGATGGAGGCATAAAGTTGGCATTTCTCCATATCCCAATGGAAGATTTAAAAAAAGAGAGAGAGAAAGAAAACAAGATGGAGAAGCAGAAATGCAAACTCCAGCTATGAAAATGCAAACTCCAACTATGACATCATTAGAAGAGGGCAGAAAGTTCAAACCACAGAAGAAATAGACGCATTGCCAACAACACAGGAGACAGAGCACAGGGGTAAGGTCTGGACAAAGTGGTACACAGAGACCACTGCTGCTTGTCTTAGCAAGAGCCCACCAAGTGGTTCTCAAAGGTGAGGGGCATTCCCTGAAGGATGAAACCTGAATCCCATTTACAGTGATGGTAATGGAATTTAGGACCAGTAATGAGAAGTCCTTTGGATGCTTCTTGTGGCAAAGGTGAGGCTAACCAAAAATTTAAACAAATGAGCTGTATTTGCAGGAAACAATCTGTTGCCACGATAGTGTCAGAGAATGAGATTTTTCATTGAAAACTGCCTCCGTGCCTATTCCCATTAGCCAGGGAGAAATAAAGCCTATGCATTACATAAAAATTCCTACTAGTGTAGAGCATGGCACCATGGCTCTGGTCTCTTTCTGACATGAATCGTCTGTAAGTGGTTGGTCCAAGAAACTTGTTTCCAATGATGAGTACTCAAAAATGCACCAGCACATGATCTATATAAAGACACTAGGAAGAACAAAAGAGTGAGAAAAGGGATATAAAAATGAGAAAGAAACAAAATCAGAAAATAACTGGCAGATGAAGAAACTCCAATAGAGAAATGTTTCCATGGATACAGAGGGCAGTAATGAGAAAAACAAACAAGATCAAGTGACTCAAAAGCAGGGAAACAAAACCAGGCATGCCTCAGATTTCTCCACAGCAATATTCTCTACTAGAAGATAGAAGAGCAATGCACAGAAAAACCTCAAGAATACCAAGTGTCACCTCAAAATTTTATATCTGGTCAAAATGTAGTTCAAGACAAAAAAAAAAAAAAAAAGCCAGGCAAATAATTTTAAATACCAAGAACTTGGGGAGCACTCTTCCTCTGAAGAAGGAAGACACTTTACTAGAAGACACATTTCAATCAACAAAGGATGACTAGAAAACCAATAGTAAATGAATATTTTTCAATATATGAATATATTTAAATATATGTAAGAATATATGTGTAAATATATATAAGACTAAAACAAATGTGAGGAATATGGTTACAGAATGGAGCACAAGTGTTATAGTCTTGGATAATGAAGACAAAGGGAGAAAGAATGTAAGAGAAAGTACGCCTACTGCCTTGTCTTTATTACATGGGGTCAGAAAAATAGCATTTAAAGCTGACAAATCAAGCACATTTAAGAGAAAAATGAGTACCATGAAAGGTAATGTATCAACCAGAATTGGATAGTGAAGAAGAAGGAAAATGAGAGAAAAAAGGAAATACACTAGATTCAGCATTACTTACAGTAGGGAATTAACAGGTGAAGTGAAGGTAATCGGAGGACTAAGTATATTAAATCAAGTTATGGTTTTAAAGTAACCACTAAAGCAAAAATACAAACCAAAACAAAGAAAACCACTACATGCTGTTAAGTAATTTTAAATGTTATAAAAACAAAGCATAACTGAAACCTAAGATGAAATACGCTCTGTCTACCTAGATAGGTTAAGTTAAAAGAAAGATTAGCAGTGTATCATGAAACAAAGTTCAAATCTATGCAGTGTACCAGAGATACACAAAAACAAACCAATTCAGAAAGACTGCAAATAAAAGGATAGGAAAATGTGTATAGGAGGTAAATACAAACCTAAATAAACCAAAGAGGCAAACAAAAACCGGGACGGGGGGAGATATTAACATTAGGCAAGGGAAATACAGAGTTGAAGCCTGAAACAAGACCATGAGAGTCACTTTATAATGCTACAGTGACAGATTCACAAGGATAAATGCATCAGTGTTATATCATAACTGTACATATCAATGCACCAAATGGCATAACTTAAACACACGTAAAGGAAAAAACTACAGGAGCTACAAAAGAAACAAGCATTCTTCTTCTTCTTCTTTTTTTTTTTAAAGATTTTATGTATTTATTTGACAGAGATCACAAGTAGGCAGAGAGAGAGAGGAGGAAGCAGGCTCCCCACTGAGCAGAGAGCCCGATGCGGGGCTCGATCCCAGGACCCTGAGATCATGACCTGAGCCAAAGGCAGAGGCTTTAACCACTGAGCCACCCAGGTGCCCCAGAAACAAGCATTCTTAAAAAGAGACTTTAATTCATCTCCTTCAGCTCATGACAAATTCAGACAAAGCAATGCCTCTGGCCAGACAGGGAAGCTTAGAAAGTTGGAGCAGCAGAAACTAGCAACTGTGCATCCTCTTCAGTCTTTGTCCTTCAATGACTTCCCCAGCGGTAGATGCAAATAGATTGCCCTGATATTTTATTTCTAATTAATGATAAACAAGGGTTCTCCAGCCATACTTTAACAGCTGGATAAATAAACTATCTTGGTTATTTTTGCTGTCCTAAAATCTCCTTTTATCACATAAGAAACATTTAATTTCACATTTTTTAAGCTTTGGAATAGGACCTCTTGGGAAGGGCACTTTAAGGAGTGGTGGAGTATTCCAGAGTTCCAGCTTGAACTGTTCTTTACTGCTTGTGACAGCAGGCAGGTCCTCTCTTCTCTCTGATCCCTGCTGCCTCCATTTATTTGTCCAGAGACAGGTGAGGTAAAAGATCACTGGAACCTCTTCCAAAGGAGAGTATTTGGGTTGAACTAAGAAATGTTAAGATGACCACACTTAAACAATGAGCTGACTCAGGGAGGATTCCTCATTTATGTGAGGTAAATTTCACTGTGAAGAGCATGAAGTTAAACTGTTCTGAAAACATTACATAGTAAACCGATCATTTGAAATTTTCATGTGCATTATTTGAGAAATTTCTCTCAGAGTAGAGCTTCCCTCACTAAGTCTCCACAGAATCCTGACCAGCACCTTCTAAGTAGCAATGCATGGTAGGTCCTCAACTGTAAACAAAAACATCCTTTAGAGGCACAGGTACTCATGCAGGTTGCCATGGCCCCAAAGGCATTGGTCTTTTTTTTTTTTTTAATTTTTTATTTCTTTTCAGCGTAACAGTATTCATTGTTTTTGCACCACACCCAGTGCTTCATGCAATCCATGCCCTCCCTAATACCCACCACCTGGTTCCCCCAACCTCCCACCCCCCGCCCCTTCAAAACCCTCAGATTGTTTTTCAGAGTCCATAGTCTCTCATGGTTCACCTCCCCTTCCAATTTCCCCCAACTCCCTTCTCCTCTCCATCTCCCCTTGTCCTCCATGTTATTTGTTATGCTCCACAAATAAGTGAAACCATATGATACTTGACTCTCTCTGCTTGACTTATTTCACTCAGCATAATCTCTTCCAGTCCCATCCATGTTGCTACAAAAGTTGGGTATTCATCCTTTCTGATGGCGGCATAATACTCCATAGTGTATATGGACCACAACTTCCTTATCCATTCGTCCAGTGAAGGGCATCTTGGTTCTTTCCACAGTTTGGCGACCATGGCCATTGCTGCTATAAACATTGGGGTACAGATGGCCCTTCTTTTCACTACATCTGTATCTTTGGGGTAAATACCCAGTAGTGCAATTGCAGGGTCATAGGGAAGTTCTATTTTTAATTTCTTGAGGAATCTCCACACTGTTCTCCAAAGTGGCTGCACCAACTTGCATTCCCACTCACAGTGTAAGAGGGTTCCCCTTTCACCACATCCTCTCCAACACATGTTGTTTCCTGTCTTGCTAATCACGTTACCTGATTTCAAGCTTTACTACAAAGCTGTGATCACCAAGACAGCATGGTACTGGCATAAAAACAGACACATAGACCAGTGGAACAGAGTAGAGACCCCAGATATGGACCCTCAACTCTATGGGCAAATAATCTTTGACAAAATAGGAAAAAATAAACAGTGGAAAAAAGACAGTCTCTTCAATTAATGGTGCTGGGAAAACTGGACAGCTATATGTAGAAGAATGAAACTCGACCATTCTCTTACACTGTACACAAAGATAAACCCAAAACGGATAAAAGACGGCAACGTGAGACAGGAATCCATCAGAATCCTAGAGGAGAACATAGGCAGTAATCTCTTCGATATCAGCCACAGCAACTTCTTTCAAGATATGTCTCCAAAGGCAAAGGAAACAAAAGCGAAAATGAACTTTTGGGACTTCATCAAGATCAAAAGCTTCTGCACAGCAAAGGAAACAGTCAACAAAACAAAGAGGTAACCCACGGAATGGGAGAAGATATTTGCAAATGACAGTACAGACAAAAGGTTGATATCCAGGATCTATAAAGAACTCCTCAAACTCAACACACACAAAACAGACAATCATATTAAAAAATGGGCAGAAGATATGAACAGACACTTCTCCAATGAAGACCTACAAATGGCTATCAGACACATGAAAAAATGTTCATCATCACTAGCCATCAGGGAGATTCAAATTAAAACCACATTGAGATACCACCTTACACCAGTTAGAATGGCGTTGGTCTTTTTACAGAAACTTTTTCTTTAGGATACAGTCAGAAGGAAAAATAAATAAATAAAAACAAGAAAAAATGAAAGCAGTCAAGTCTCTCCACTCTCTATTCACTAATGTGCTCCCCAAAGCCTTACCTGATTAAGAGCTAATGCCACAGCAAAACAGGATGCTCTCCTGGAGAGGACTTCTCCTTTGATCAGGGCTTCTTCTCTTAATGTAGTACAGATTTTTAAAGATTCAGGGCTATTCTGGCAGGAGACAGGATTGCTCAGTAAATAATGTCATGTACCTTTAAATTTAATAAAACGATTAATAGTGCTCAGCATTTTGGATTTCCTTTTGTAAGAATTTCCCAGCGCCTATCTCAAGCCACTTAACAGATGAAGCCCCATATAGAGACTACTTGCAGACAGACCTAATTATCTACACATTAGCACTTCAAATCTACATTAACTTCATTTGTAAAGCTCTTTGTCAATTTTCCGAACTAGGGCCTTTTTACCACCGAGTGTGTAGGTCTCTTTGTATCTGGGCAGACTGGTTTCTAGACATAAGTAATGTAATGTAATAATATGTAAAGGTGTAAATAATAATGTAAAGGTGTAAAAATCTCAGTTTGTTACTATATTAAGTAATAGTATAAAGCTCAGCAACACTAAAATGTTTTCCTGAGGGGATTTCCAGTCTGAAAATATCCATGTAAGCCAAATTCTTGAAAACGTGAACACTTATGTGAATGTAAGTCATGAGAGAATCCCATGAAAATAGAAACCTTAAAAACAAATCCAAGAACATGAACGACACACAAACCAGCAGAGAGCAATGGTAAAACTGAATCTTCTTCCTCTGTACATGCTAGAGGTGGATTAGGTTTATGAGAACAGTATTAGCTTTGCATCTATGTCTATCTGTTATGACATGATTCACAACTCAAAGCCTAACTAAAAACTGAATCTGATGAGCGAAGGCAGTTCCCAGAATTGACCTGGAATTTGTAATGGCTGACTAGTTCAATTTTTCAACTCTCCTCTCCACTGAGTAAAACAAGTTATTTTTAGATACAATATAGAGGAGAAATGTCATCTAGCTTTCCCAAATAGCAGAATTAAATTCTCTCCACTTTATTATACACTCAAGGAGGCATCTCTAAAAATGTCAGAAAGCTCAGTATTACAGTGCTGAATAAGCTGATGCTTAAGTGTTATGTATTCGGTTGTCCTTCTGTTTCAAGAAGAAAATGGTATGACTGGAAAGGATGACACAAGGGTACCCCGGTGGCTCAGTCAGTTAAGTGTCTGACTTTTGGTTTCGGCTCAGGTCATGATCTCAGGGTCATGAGATCGAGCCCTGTGTCCAGTTCTGCACTCAGAGTGGAGTTTGCTTGTCCCTCCTCCTCCCTTTCTGCTTCCCGTCCCAGCTCTGGCTCACATGTGCACATGCACACACAAACACACACTCTCTCTCTCAAATAAATAAATAAAATCTTTAAAAAATAGAGAAAGGATTACTTAATAATCTAGCAGTGAGCAAACTAAGACTCTCAGGCCAAGTCTAGCCTATGGCTAAAAATGGTTTTCACATTTTTAAAGGTTTGTAAAAACAAAAACAAATTACAATATATGAGAGAGACCATATGTGGTAGAGGCCATACATGGCCTCTAAAAGCATTTACTATCTGGCCTTTTATAGTAAAAGCTTGCGGCTCTTGAATTCAACCCTTTTATTTCACAAATAAATTAAGTGACCACTTCAAAGCCAGCTAATGCTAAAGCTGAGACTAGACTCTAAGTTTCTCAATTTCCAGGATGGTTTTCTTTCCACTATAACCCCACTGCCTCTCTTGTTTTGGAAAATTGGTATTGCTACACTTTTCAGCGAAGTGTTTTATTTATTTAATTAATTTATTTATTTTTATTATTTGCCCCAGGGGTACAGGTCTGTGAATCATCAGTATTACACAATTCACAGCACTCACCACAGCACATACCCTCCCCAGTGTCCATCAGGGAAGTGTTTTAATGGCCCATCTTCATTCACCTTGCCTGGTGTTCCTTCATTTTTGCCATAATAAGCTTTTGTTAAGTTTCCAAAGTTTAAATGACATGAGTGTCTACAGTAATGCACAGAACCTTGGCTGCTGCACTCTTTCAGTTATTCTTTATTTACTGATTCATTCCATCAATGAGGGAGAAATAGTTTCTAAGTACAAAAAACAATCCTGATACAGTAATGACATATGGACTTGTAAGTCATGTTTTCCGTCATCAAAGAGTTCACTTCAATGTCACATACATTTATTAAAGATCAATCGTATACTGGGGCTGTTTGGTGCTGGCATACAAAAATGCCTCAAGCCTTACCTTTAGAGGGGAGGATGAAACATTCACCTACTTAGAATAATATCAGGCAGTGCTAAGTGTCACATAAGTGATACTAACAGAACACAGTTAGAGAATGTTGGGTGACAGACATTACTTCCAACTTCGAACCACTAAAAACTTTACAGGTAACAATAAAGTAGCCCTTGAGTTCACTGATTAAGGATGGTCAGATTTCCATGGGCGAGAACTACAGAAAAGACTTGTCTAGTGGAGTCCAGCTTGAGCTGAATAACAAGAGGACTGACTCTACAGCAGAGCTTGAATCCAGCATACCTCTTGCTCTCCCTATCTACACAACTGCCAGAGAAGGGTGAAAGATGATAAAATTGCTTTTCCCGTGATAAAACTGTATGATGTGGCTAACTTGAATCTTCTAAAAAAGAACATATTTAAAATGGAAATATCTGTACCAGATGGAAAAAAGACTTCAGAGGAACTAAAGTTTTCTTTGTAGAGAAAAAAAAATTATAAATTCTCTCTCAAACACTACCCACAGTGCTCTAAAAGTTAAGGGAAGACAGGCTTACCAGTTTGTAGCAAATCGCAAAAGCAAGGACATAGGTATCTTTGTTGAACTTCACATCTTGGTTTTTCATCTCTATCAGTACTTCCAATGCACCTACGAAAAGTGACAAGTGGGTGGGCAGTGTTAAATGCATCGGAAGGAGTTCAGAGTTCTTGGCTATTGATCCCCAGAGTTCTAATCCGTTCAGCACCACCCACTGAAAATTGTATTCCAGAACCACAATAAAAGCTATCTGTCAAAGTCATTTAGCAATTAACTAAATTAAAAAAAAATATATATATATATGAAGTCATACAGCAAGAACTAATATTTTAAAACGTATTATATTTTCAAGGGAAGTAAACTCTGTGTGTTTAGCTTAAGGCAAGACATAAGATGTAATAAAGTTGTTTTTCAGACCTCAAAGAATGAAATCTCCATAATTTAGCCACTCATCAGAAATATAAACATCGTTTTTGCATCCATTGTTTTTCCCAACTTCTATACTTATACCAGCAAAGACAGAATTTTTCAGCAAACATAAATTCCAATACTTACTTGAATATTTGCCTTTGATAAATAACATATCCATCAAAATATTGAATGATGCGGAGTCTGAGAAGAAACCTCGTAAATGCTAATGAAAAAAAAAAAAAAACCAACACCAGTTTGGTTAAAAGCTGTAACTATTTAGTGAATATTTACTCTTATACTCCATCTTCTCTATCTAGGACTTATTTTTGTGTATACTTTATCCATTTGGTCCCCTGAATTCTCTAATAAATTTCTGATATATCAGGATTTATTCTTCAAAAAAATTCAGATGCTGCCCACTCTTTTGGCTGTCATGCCTTTGGCAATGGGCACACCAAACAAGAGACAGGAGGTATGGCAAGAGTTCTCAGAGTTTCGAAAATACACTGAAGAACATGTTCATTAAACATGGCTCACCTGCTTAGGGGAAAAGAAACAAGCCAATTAACCCTGATGGGGTGGTCCTGCAACGTGGGTGGCAGCATATTAATATGAAATGGTAGGTGTCAGTATGCTTGAAAACTGTGCAAGGACAGTCTTACACAGCTATGATTCTCTTTTGGCAAATGAATAATAAACAGTAATCCACTTTTTGCAATAATTCACTAAAAGTGGTTCTTGACATTTTTTTTCTCAACATTTTTACTCATGATAACGCAACACATGTTACTGAAATATGTCATTAAATGCCCCACTCAAGTTTGTTCTTATTTTGAGAACCTACTAGCAAACCCTCTTCTAAGGACTGAAAATAAAAAAATGATGAACAAGACACATAACCCTGCCCTAACTCTAGTGGGGCTTATGATCTAGTAGAGTTTAAATTCTGGCATGGGAAAAAATGAAAATGGGAGTAAAACCTGTAAAAAAAAAAGTTAAAATGTAATTTCAAGTTATCAGTAAGGGCTATAAAGAACAATGAAGCAGGAAAAAGGGACAGAGAAGATGGTAGAAGGTTGTCAGAAAAGGCTTTCTGGGAAAAGACCTCAGTGAAGTAAAGGAGAGCCTCAATAATGAGAATGTAGACCATTCTGGTCTGAGGACATGGGTATGGCATGTCTTAAAAAGCATAAGAAGGTCCAGAGTGGAATGGGCAAGAGGAATGGCAGGCAATGAGATACTACAAGGTGCATCTAAGTCATGATCAGGGATCTGAGTTTGACTCTAAGCGAGATGGAGAGTCCCCAGAGCAGCCCTGTCCACAGTGTACGCCATCTATGTGGTTCTATATTTTCAGGTAGCTTCATTAAGAAAATTAAAAATACATGCAATCAGTTTTAAAAATGTTACCTAAACCTCTAAATCCAAAATATAATTTCAACATGTAATCAATAAAAAAATGAATAAAGTACTTCATTTCTTCTTTTTTATACCAAGATTTGAAATGCATCATGCATTCCCTTATAGCACATGCGATTTGAACTAGCCACAGTCCAGGGGCTCCAGAGATATACCAGCTAGTGGCTACCGCACTGGCGGCACCACAGGATTCTGGGTAGGGGACACACTAAATTGAGAGTGGTGTTACACAGGATTAGGCTTTAGGTCACTGGACTCAAATTCAGTTTATTTTGCTACTCCAGGAAACTTAGTTGTATATGAGTATTTCAGACATGCGTCTAAGTTTAAAAAAAAAAAAGGAAAGTTGCATTTTCTTTTTGTTTTTATCATTACACTCATGGCTATCATTACAGTAAAATTTTCATTTCCCTCTAATTACAACACATGATTACTAAATAGTCAAACAATACAAAAAGGCATAGAGTAAAAAGTAAGAATTTCCTGTACCCCTAAAGATAAGCAGTAGGGGTTTCATTAGATTCTTATAGAATTTTAATATATACTAAAATGTAAATATGTATATTTGTCTTTTAGGGGAAAAGTTGGTTCAAACTAATCCACACCGTTGCAAATACACTTTTTCTTTGGTTACTAATATATTATAGTCATTTTTCTAAGCCATGGGTGTCCTTAAAAGGGGCAAGCCAAGAGTTAACAGTTACACCATACAGAGAACACTTTAGATGAAGAGTACAAGACAGAAAGAAAACTTAGAAGGGTTCTAAAAAATACAAAAGTATCCCAGGTGGCCAGCCCTGGCTCCAAAATAAATGTTTCTGACCATGCATGAGTTTATCATGTCTCTAAGACCCAGTTTCCTCATCTGTACAATGGATAGGTTAACAGTATCTACCTCAGCAGGGTCCGTGGGAAACAAATCAAACAGATAAAATGCTTAAGCACAGTAGTGAGGACATAGCAAATATTCCATAAATAATTACAAAAATAATTTTTATCTTTGCTTTAGGAAAAGAAAATCAGAAGATGTGAAAGGATTCTGAAAACAGAAAAGCACTTTATAATGTGGCCATCAACCAGAAGTAAAAAATATAACCATACAGGAGAAGCACATGAGAAAGTTAGGAAAGGCAATCTTAAGATGGCAGCCAGCCTTAAACTATCACCCACGAAAAACTTCTCAGAGAGGAGGTCAGTACCAGGTCACACCCAAAGCAATTTGTACATACAGCTTTTCTGTACCTGTCCTATACCTCTGTATAAAAAGACTTCAGCCTTTTCATAACAAGAACTCCAGGACACCTTAAAATGCAGATAAACAGTGATTCCTTCAGCCCAGCAGCCTTACTCTGAAAATCTCACCCAGGAACAATGTGTGTAAGAGAGATGCCTTTGCTAACATCACTAAAAACACCCCAAGATCAGCACAAGGAAATCACTAACAGGGAAAGCAATCAGAAGACAATAACCTGGTCTTTGATGAGTTCCACTGCAGATTCCTCAAGATCCAACTCATAGCACAATCTCATAAAAAGTGGTCCAAATTTATACGTTCCGAAAGTCACGTTTCTGTTCTCTGCATGGTACCTGGTAATCAAAATGATTCAATGAGCCAAACAGTGGGATGCAGGGAAAAGAAAAGAAAGATTGTGGAATATACTCTGCTAAACACTGGAAACACAATAAAGCCTGAGGTACTCTCAGTCTGAAGGGCGAAAAGTACAGAAATGAGGATAAACACAGGAATTCTGGAGTGCAGAAGTGTGCCAGGCATTTAAATAACAGGGTTTTTTAGAGGCCCACATACATAATCATGTGAAATAAAATAATGGAAAAATGTACATTGTAATTGTCTTCTCAATCTGTTAACAACCCACTAGGACTAACTATTAGCATACATAGGGAATAATAGGAACCTTGCATCAGCAAGCCCATGACAATGGCACTGTTTCTGTGTGGACCTCATCTAGAGAAAGCAGTGAAGTGATGCCACGTTCCATTCCTCTCAAATCTGACTTCTCCATATAGGATGGCAGACAACCTACAGATGTACTTTACAACTTAGACCCATCTCTCTTTATCTCTGCTTAGGCAAAGGCATTATGTGAGCTACCATCAATTAAAAATTAAACAAATTAAACACCATTCTGAAGTTTCATTTTAGAAAAAGGCTAATTTCAAAGACAGCGACATTTTATATGTGGCTTGAGATTTCTATAAGCAGTCAGTCAACCAGTGGGAACTGCAGAACTGAAAACTGCCAGCATAAGTTGACTTTCAATAACCAACTCTTTCTGTTTTAGACACCAAGACAATCTGGTGACAAAATAAGTATCTCATGATTACATGTAAACCAGATTTTATTAAGACTCATTATGTACATAAATCACCCACACCACAGGGAGATGCTGACTTTAAAGACAGAATACTTTTGACCATTCTGTTGAAATCAGAGGAAAGTCACAGTAACATTAGGGATAGTGTATCCTAAACATATATACTGCCAAACAGAATAACAATATGTACTGTTATTTATTTTTTCTTAAAGATTTTATTTATTTGACAGAGAAAGAGATCACAAGTAGGCAGAGAGGCAGGCAGAGAGAGGGGGAAGCAGGCTCCCCGCTGAGCAGAGAGCCCAATGTGGGGCTCGATCCCAGGACCTTGAGACCATGACCTGAGCCAAAGGCAGAGGCTTAACCCACTCAGCCACCCAGGCGCCCCCTCTTTTTTTTTTTTTTTTTTTTTTGTTGTTGAAGATTTTATTTATTTATTTGAGAGAGAGAGAGCAAGAGAGAGACCACAAGCAAGAGAGTGAGAGAACAATCAGGGGGAGGCTGGGGGATGGGGAGAGGACAGAGGCAGAGAGAGAAGCAGACACCCTGCTGAGCAGGGAGCCCAACACAGGGCTGGATCCCAGGACCATGGGATCATGATCTAAGCTGAAAGCAGATGCTTAACTGACTGAGCCACCCAGGCGCCTCAAGAATATGTACTTTTAAAGATACATTTCGGGGCGCCTGGGTGGCTCAGTGGGTTAAAGCCTCTGACTTCAGCTCAGGTCATGATCCCGGGGTCCTGGGATTGAGCCCCGCGTCGGGCTCTCTTCTCGGCAGGGAGCCTGCTTCCTCCTCTCTCTGCCTGCCTCTCTGCCTACTTGTGACCTCTGTCTGTCAATTAAATAAAAATAAAAAAATCTTTAAAAAAAAAAAGATACATTTCATAAACTAATTGTAGAAGAAATAAAATATATTCATTGCTTCATTACAAGTTATGAATTAAATTATATCAAAACTTCAGTTGTATACCTTAAATACACATGACTTTTAGTTGTCAATTATACCTCAATAATACTGGAGGGAAAAAAGAATTAAGTTATTAAAAGGCAACACAGTATAGTGATTAAGGATTTTTAGACTCTGATTCCAAACTGACAGTTGAAATCCCAGCTCTTTTACTAACTGTATAATGAGGAGCAAATTAATTAACCACCCTATGCCTCAATTTCTTCACCTATAAATGAAGATAAAAGTTCAATTCAAAAAGTTTTTGTGAGGATTAAATGAGATGGCATGCCTAGCACACAGAAAACCTTCCATATATGTTAGCTCTTAAGAAATGTAAGGAATGCCATGGAAAATACCTTTAAAAATCAAAACATTCTGGGGCGCCTGTGTGGCTCAGTGGGTTAAAGCCTCTGCCTTCGGCTCAGGTCATGATCCCAGGGTCCTGGAATCAAGCCCCAGCATCATCATCGGGCTCTCTGCTCAGCAGGGAGCCTGCTTCCTCCTCTCTCTCTGCCTGCCTCTCTGCCTACTTGTGATCTCTGTCTGTCAAATAAATAAATAAAATCTTAAAAAAAAATCAAAATATTCCAAAAATAGCATCATGAAAAATTTGTGCCAGATTAAAAACAAAACAATGCAAAAACAAACGTTTTCCCAATTCAGAGGACATTTACACTAATAAATATGCTAGCAATTCACAAAGATAATATATTACCTCTTCTTGACTAGAAATATTCAAATCAGAGAATCTAAAAATCTCCCTATAAATCACACAACGGCAGGTGGCCAAGATTATGGAGGGATTAAGTTCCTCCTCATTTTTGACTAATAAAGAGTTTATGTTCTGGCTCATTACTGTTCTTCCCTAGCAGTGTTCTCGCCTGTCTCAGCAAGAGAGAACAGGTTAGGCCATGTACCTGCCCATCTTCCCACTTTTCCATCTCCACAAGTAAAGGAAAGAGACAGCAAGTGAGCAGTTGTTGGCATCGAATTAACTTTGGGTAGTAAAAATAGACTGACAGTAAAACAGGCCAGAGGGTCTCAAATGATTCAACTTTGTGAAACAGAAACAGAATTAGGATGCCTAATACCGTGACTATAAATTAGCATAACCCTCCTAGAAAATAATCTGACACTTTGTATCAACAAGTTTTAAAAGGTTCCTATAATCTGATCACATCCAAAACTTAGAGTAAGCTTTATGCATAGAGTTGCTCATCATGGCCTTATTTATACTGATGAAAAATCAAACAATGCAGACATTCAATAATAGCGGCACAATTAATTAAAACACCTGACATATAATGGAATATCACAAAGCCATTAAAATATAATTCCTAAGGATATCATTTTTTTTAAGATTTTATGTATATATTTGACAGAGAGAAGCACAAGCAGGGGGAGCGGCAGGCAGAGGGAGAGGGAGAAGCAGGCTCCCCTCATAGCAGGGAGCCCCATGCAGGGCTTGATTCCACTGGGATCATGACCTGAGCCGAAGGCAGATGCTTAACTGTCTGAGCCACCCAGGTACACCAATTCCTAAGTATATCATTAACAAGCAAAAACAGTTATGCTATGATACTAACTAAAAACACCAACATTATATATTTAACAATTATTAGAAATTACCAAAACCACACCATCTGGGGCACTTGGGTGGCTCAGTGGGTTAAAGCCTCTGCCTTCAGCTCAGGTCACGATCCCAGGGTCCTGGGATCGAGCCCCACGTCGGGTTCTCTGCTTGGCGGGGAGCCTGCTTCCTCCTCTCTCTCTGCCTGCCTCTCTGCTTACTTGTGATCTCTGTCTGTGAAATAAATAAATAAAATCTTTGGAAAAAAAAAACAAAACCACATGATCTTTGCACATAGAAAATCAGTGAGAAAATGTATAAAAATATCAACAGTGGTTGATCCATTCAGAGGTGGAACTCTTGCTTCTCCCCCTCCATGTGGGGTGGCCAACTAACTTGCCTTGAAGAAGAGGATGTGACAGAAGTGAAGCTGTGCCAGTTCTGGACAGCTCTACAAGGCCTGCAGCTTCTACTTGTGCTGGGTGCAAGTGCAGCCCAGCTAGACTCATGAATGGTGAGACATTCCAAGGGGAAAGAAGGGCCACATGGACTCAGGCATCAGAAATACAAGTGAAGCTTCCTGGACCTTCTAGCTCAGCCTAGCCAGCAGCTGACTATGGTTCAGCAAGTGACTTTAGCTGACACCAATAAAGAACTGCCCAGCTAACCAGCTTCAATTCCTGACCCACAATAATAATAGAGAAAAGACAGTAATAAATGACAGATAAATAATAAACAGTTGTCTTGTTAAGCCATTAAGTTCTGGTGTGCAAAAAGAGACAACTGAAATACCAGAATTTATGACACATTTCTTCTACTTTTTTGGAGTTTTCAAACTTTCAATGAATTTAGTGTAATATTGTGTTTTTTTCTTTTTAAAAATAACATTAATTTTTTCACATTATAAAACTGATAATGCCCACAACAGACAAGTTTGAGAAATCAAAAAAATACATATTTAGATGAAAGAAAATGTGTAATTGCCAGAGAACTACAGTTACCTTTTGGTACATATCCTTCCAGTATTCTATATATGAACACCTAGTAGTTCTCTCTACAGGTGTACAATATAAATGCAGGTCCATGTATAGCAATATATCTTTCAAGAATGGTTAAGAAAAAAAGGGGGGGGTGACGGAGTTGCTAAATGATGGACCATGGGGGGCACTGGGTGTTATGCAAGACTGATGAACCACAGACCTGTGTTTCATCTTGAAATAAATAATACCTTATATGTTGTTATAGAACCACAGACCACATATGTTATAGAACCATAGAACCACAGACCTGTGGTTCATCTTGAAATAAATAATACCTTATATGTTGTTCATCTTGAAATAAATAATATCTTATATGTTGATTAAAAAAAAAAAGCATGAACTTGATTTCAGAAATGAAGCCTGTTGATTTTGGGTCATACACTTCCTGAGTAAGCAAAACCTTTGCTGGTTTTCCCAACCGCAGGCTATTTCCCCTGAGTTCCCCTGACATGGGAAACTGACAATGAAACATAACAAGCATAGGCCAGGAGGAGGGAGCTGAGCCAGAAGTCTCCTGAAGTGATCCTAGTGAGATAAAATGAGGCCTGAACTAAGGCACTGGTAATGAGGACAGAGAGAGGAAGGATAGAGATGAGAGATACCAGGGAAGTGGAAGCAGTGGAATTTGTTATCTTGTCAGGGAGGAGAGCAAATGAGATTAGGGGAAAGAGGTTCCCTGGTGTCTCCTGAGTGGCAATTTGTAAAAGTTGAATGTGAAGACCTAGGGGACACAGAAGCAGAGTTCATCAGGCTGGTGATTTCTTGAGGCATGAATTCTGGTTTTCTATCCTCAGTACCTGGCATATAGAAGGAATCCAGTAAGCGTCTGATAAATGAATATAAAGGTCTGGAGCTCAGTGCAGGTATGTGGACAAGAGATCTGAAAGTCATCAATGCACAAATGATAGCTGAAACCTGGTTAAACGGATGAGATTGTTCAGGCAAAAGAACAGAGTGAGAAGAGACCACAGCTGGCAGAATTCTAAGGAAATGCCTCACCTGTAAATGACATTTTTAACCAGTTCCATATCATCCCTGGAATTGCACAAATGAAGCAAGGTTTTCAACTCCTCCTTCAAGATGAGCTTATTCTGAGTCAATTTCTCTTCCATATTTCTCAGATAGGTTGCTGGAAGAAAGCATGGTTTAATGGTCATCATTCAGGCTGACTGGGACTATCAGGAATCTGACCTCAAGAAGAAGGGGAAGCTGGATCCTGGTACATTGCAAAGGGGCACTTAGAGGGGCTTATGGCCATGTTGCTCCCATCACTGGCTAGTCTCCTCAAGAACAGTGTCACAGAAGGTCTGTGAAGCAAATTCTCTGTGCTATAGGCTGAAAGCTCACTCAGAACTTTGTAACATACAATTTCTGGGAGTACGAACACAAGAATATGCAATTTTGACTACCTTGGTGATTCACACATTAAAGTTTTAAAACTCACGTCCCAGAGGCTTACCTCAAAGAACTGCCCCTATAGGTGACCCATTAGGAGACTTTAAAAAAAAAAAAAAAAAAAAGTAACCAAGATATCCAAACTATCAACTGGCAGGGTACCTAGCAGGAAGAGTGAAAGGAAAATATGCAATGAAGGTGGGTTTGCCCCAGTGGTTGACCCATACAGTTCAGGAATATTTCACATCTCTTTCATTTGGTTCAACTCTACTGCTCATTTCTCTTGGTCTCCCTACTCAGTTGTCAGAAAGCATGCCACAGTACTACAGAATGCACAGGGGGTTAAAAAAACAAAAAACAAACAAAAAAAAACTACCCTCTAAACAGCCGCAAACACTCTCTGTAACAGAATCATATCAAGGTGATTATACTCTATCTCTGTTCCCTGCCTTGTATTTAGTTGACTATGGAAACAAATACCAAAAGGAAACACTGCTTCTTGGCATTAGGAAAGGACCAGATTCTCAGTAAAATGGTGGGTGAGATATGGCAGCACCAAAGAAGCATGTGAGCTGCCAAGAGAAGTCTACAGGGTTTGCTCCAAGACGCAGAGCTTTGAAGGAAGGCTGCTTAAAGGAATGGCACAATACACATTAAAACACAAGGAAGCTGAGGCAGACACTGTTCTCAGTTTACAAGAAAGGAAGGCCCACCTGGTTTAGGTTAATGCTATGAACGCTCCAACCTTTATTTGCAGAACAATATCATGATTAAAGGTTTCCATACAGATGGAAGGACCTGCTCTCTGCCCCTTGTATGCTATGGGGAGATGCTTGCTTGTGAGACTTGATTTCTCATGTGTAAAGTGAGGATCATGAAAGCTACCTCATGGGATATCCTGAGATAATATATGTTAAGCATTTAGCACAGGGCCTAGCATATAGTAACTGCCAGTAAATCATACACATTGTTCGCATTTTCATTCTGTTCCCTGTCAGATTTAAGTGAATTTATTCTATTAACTGTTTCTAAACAGTTTCTAGTACAAAAAATTTTAATGAGATGACTTTACATCTTATACTTTTTAATAACCCTTAAGAATCCAAAATGTCAATAGATGTTAATTCACATTTTAAAACAAATAATCAAGATTTAAGTGCTTGTAACACAGAGAAAGCTTAGTTATGGTTCCTGCCCTGAAAGAACTTAGTCTTTTTGAGAAAACAAGGTATATTTATACAAAGCTATCTGAAAATGATGGGGTAGTGACAAGTGACCAACTATATACATGATACAGAAAAAAAGAAATCAGGGTGGCAGAAACAGACCAGATCTGAGTGGAGAAGTACCAGAAAGAAAGGAAGGGGCTGGACAGGACTTGGAGAAACTCAGAAGAGGGGAGCATTCTTGGTGTGACAATCAGCATAAATAATATCACAGAATGGGGGTGAGGAGTGATGAGGGGAGAACTGTGACTAGATTAACAGGAAATCATACTGGACTCCAGAAAGGGTAAGGTCCACTATGGAGGAGCAAGGAAGCCAGGGAGTTGTGTACACAATGTGAGGTATGACAGAGGACGATTGTGGGTTCTCATAATGAAGAAATGTTGACAGGATTTTACAAATATCAATCTGACCATGGAGTAAATTGGCACTCATTATATTAATTGCCTTTCAGAACATATGCACAACTGTCACAGCCTTAGAATGACTATGACAATTGGATTTAACTAGAAAATCACACGAACCCCTAATTCTGCCAACTTTACAAAGCTCCAAAAGGTAAAGGGGTAAAAAGAAGAGTGAGGTAAAATACAGACTGAGTCTCCCACACTGAAGATGAACATATTCTCCCTCACTTTTAAAGCTTACGTTCTCATTCCACACGTGGTATAATGTGGCGAGGTGAGGAAAGACTGATTTCTGGAGGGCGAGAAGCAATAAGTATTAAGTGCTCATAAACATCTGAAAGGGAGAGTAAGGAGATTTGAAGAAGTCAGCAGGGACAAACTAAACTGTTACTGAAAGAGATGAGAATATCCAGAATATCGTTACGTTTTAAAGGAATTTAAAGTACTGGAAAAAATGTGCAGGAGAGAGGGAATAAATTCAACAAGATTTCCCAGATGCTGAAAGGAGTAAGACCTAGTGTGGTGGTGTGTTTTCAGCTTTTTGTAAAAAATATTCAAACATAGCCCAAAATAGGGATAGAACGTTATGCTCTCCTGTGTCCATCACCCAGGCTCAATAATGACTAATATTTTGATAATTAAAAAAAAAAAAATCTTTGTTTTAGTCCATTGAATTTTTTAGCCGAGGAGCAAAATATGAAAATGCATCACAGGGGTCATGTGGGTGGCTCAGTCTGTTGAGGTTCCAACTCTTAATTTCAGCTAAGGTCATGATCTCAGGGTCACTGGATCAAGTGTGCTCCCCTCTACTCCTCACTCTCTCTCAAATAAATATTAAAAAAAAAAAAAGAAAGAAAGAAAATGCATCACACATGGAACAGTTTTGTTTCACTGTATTTCACTTGTGTTTGAAGATGCATGTGTATACTGGAGATACTATGTAAAATGTACTTTTTACTCAGAGGTACATCAAAAATGTGAAAGCAAATCATCTTGAGCAGTTCTCTGACTTTACTGTGCATATTAACAGTCTGGGGCTTCAAGTTTCATATTTCTATGAAACTCCCAGATGCTGCTGACCCTTGATCCTTAGTCTGGGTCCTCTAGAGAGGACTGGTTCCAACACTAATTTTAGCATTTCTCTGCGATCCTGGGAAAAGTGACAAGAGGAGATGGTAGACTATAGGAGTAGAAAATGAGATGAAAAGTACAGTTAGGGATAGACTAGGAAATTAAAGAACCCATGTCAATTTTTTCTCAAAGATCACTGAAGGAGACTGAACAGCGATAAAGACAGAAAAAACCTGAATGACACATCACTGAAAGAATTAACAAAATAGATTCAATTACCTTTGGTGCCAGGAAGATGATATGCAATAGCCACCTTCTTGTGCTGAAATTCTTCCAATTTCACAATACTATCTGTAAGTAGGTATCTTTTAGCTAAAAAACAAAGAAAAAAGTAAAATGATTTTCACTACCTTGTACTAAGCAAAAACATGCATAGAACTTGATTGCCTCTAATATCACTTAATATAAATAATCTATCTGGACAGCTACAAGTAAGTCACTCTGGTGGAAAAGTAAACATCTCTAAACTATCAGAGAATTCAAATTCTCAGCAAGTTTCGTTTTTGTGTGTGAAAGCAGCTAATGATTAACTGTATGGAGATGGGTTGAGAGGAATCTGGGACGTGAAAGACAAATATACATTCCCCATCTAGTTATGGGATTACAAGCGAATAAAAAAACAAAAGCACAAAACTAAAGGTTACTGTTTAAACGTCAGACTAGTAGGTCTAGTTTTGGTTTAACTAGGTGGAAACTCACAGTGTAGTGCAAACAGCTAGAGTGTGACCATTGTAATTCCCGGTTCTGCCATTTGTGAAATCAGGAGTTAAGGCCTCTCAGAACAGGACTGTTGGTATCCTCATGATGTAACAGAAATCACTGACCACTGCTTAGTAGAAAAGTTTGGGAAACGTTTTTTTCTTTCAGATGCGTGCCTGTGCATGGAGAGGAGCTTGGTCAAAGAATCATACACTGAAGACCTCTCTATACCGCAATAACAGGTTACCAGTAAAAAGTGTTGTCTGTTTATGGAAGAGAGCCCAGAGAACTGTTAGAGCAGGGCTGTCCTATTGCGCTGCTGAGTGCAAATCCCACCTTGGGCTAATGACTTGGCCTTGCTGTCTCCACTTCCTTAGAGAAAAGAACGGAACCTCCCTCACTGGGGGTTGTGAGCAGAAAAGGAATTAAAATACGTAAAATGCATAGAGTAACACCTGACACCAAGTGTTAAGTATTTTATTATCACTCACCAGTATATTCAAAGTTCATCATTTCCATAAACTTATTAAGGGACAATTTTACAGATGAAAAAACCCGCACAAGGTCTTTCGGGTTATTAGCGGCAGAGCTGGGGCGCGAAACTCGGAGAGGCAGAGCTCTGCTACCAAACTGCAGGACAGTCCACCCAAGGGAGAGAGGGATTTCCAGACAACAACGTCGCCTCTTCCGAGGGACTACTACAGCGCCAAGGTCGAGACCTCAGCCTGGCTGTCCTTTGGTTCCCAGGCACATGGAGGGCCAGGGCTGCACGGGCACGCAAGCAGAGGACGAGAGAGCAAGCTGCGGGGCTTCAGGTCAGTGAGTGACTGAGGCGCTATTATTTTCCCCAAGTGATGCCTGCTGAAGTGTCAATCTCCCTTCTTTCCCATTCCTCCCCTCCTTCACGACCAGAGGCCGCAGATACCTCCGAGAGGGCAGCGGCAGCACGTGGAGCCTGAGCCTCCCACCCCAAGATACACCGAACACCGCAGCGCCTGCAGAAGGTCGTGCTTCGGCAGGCGAATTGTAGCAGCCATGCTGTTCCGGGCCACACCAACCACGGGAACTGGGGAGGGGGGCGGAGCGTCGGCCTATGACCCCACCCCTTCCTCTGCCCGCAATCCCTGGACGTTCGTCCTCTTGGTATGTTCCAAGATGGCAGCTCCCATAGTGAGGAGCTGGTTTCTTGTGGCGCGGAAAGTGCCCCGGCCTCCGCTCTTCTTGGCAGGTTGGTGGCTGTTCTGCTTCTGTGGGGCTACTTCTTTAGTCACCTGAGAGCTCTTCCTTAAGTGAAGGGAACCGTGGGCTCTCAAGAGGACAGGAAATGCTTCTGGGATCTAGTTGCTAGAGAAACCATTTGGAGCGTTAGGTAGCGCGGAAAGGGGAAGTGTGGCCTCGGATCCGTCTCCTTACCCAAAATACTGCCAGCCCGTCCAGAGGTGTGCAGAGTAGATGAAGTTAAGGCATGAGGTCTTTTGCGTAAAATTTGCAGAGTTTGTGTGTTAGGGTGGTCGTTTCTTTGCTGACCATGAAGAGCCCAAATGTTCCCACTTCAGAGCTAGGAAGTTTTCTTCTCTGCTTAAGTGTCTTTGAAGGGGCGTCCTAAATCTGTTTCTCACCACTTCACAATTGAAGACTTTTGGTCTCCACTTGGGATGAGAATTTCAGTACTAATTTCTCATCCGACGACCTGGGGCACAACATTTTGAGTGACCTTTCTATGCCACAGTTTTCCACGTGTAGAGGCAATAGCTACTTCCCAAGTGTAGTTGACCCGAGAACAGTTCAGGGGTTTAGGGGCATGATGCCAGGCAGTTGGAAAATCGTGTGTAAGTTTTGACTTCCCCCGCACTTAAGCCTACTGTTGACCTTACCCATAATAGTACATTAACACTTATTTTTTATGTTTCATATAATTGTATAGTGTGTTCTTAAAGTGAGCTACGGAAAATGTTACTAAAATCTTAAGGGAACTAAGCTTTAGAGAACTATACTGTATGTACTGGAAAAAAAAAAAAAAGCAAAGCTGTGTTAAGTGGACCCGTGCAGTTCAGAGTGGTATTCAAGGGTCAACTGTACTTGGATATTTGAGTAAATGGCACCTCACTCAAAACGTTTTTAATGGATCTGCGCAAAGACATTAGGAAAAGTTGATATTTATACAAGCTAAATCCTGATAGGTGTATGCTTATATGACTAAAATGCAATAATCACAGTTGATGTTTCCAGTGCCTTTTATCTTCTCTTTCCAACATACTTCCTCTAGCTCCTATTAAAAACCAACACTTACACTGTTGTTCACAGTTCTTTAGGAACAGCTATTAAATATCAATTGAAAACGTCATTGTTGGCCTCCAGGTTTTCTGAGGATTAACTGGTTGACCTAGCAGGTGAAAATGTTTAGTGCCACACATTAGGTAAAGTGGTATGTACAGTACCTGGTGTCTCTTTGAGAATTAGCTGCTGTACCTGTTTGCTAGCATGCTTAATTTTATGGCTCTTAATAAATGCTTTTCAATTTACACAGGACCTTGAATTGTGTATCAGGGAGACTATCATGGTTGCATAGTGTTTGAGGCAATCATCTAATATTAGATAAGGGTGAACTGAGAATTTTCAGTTAACATTTTGTTCTTAAACTGGTGAACTTATAGTGGGATATACCTGTGTTGTTACATTGTAGTAACTACTAGCTACATGTGGCTATTGAAATTAGTCAAACAAATAAAATAAGAAATTCAGGTTTTTTAAGTCACAGTAACCACATTTTAAGTGTTTAGTAGAGACGTGTAGTTAGTGGCCACAGTTGCACAGCTCAGAATTGAACATTTTCATCATTAGGTTCTATTGAATAAGCACTAAGTTAGATCATAGAAGCAAGGAGTCCTGAAAATCAGGAACTGGGAAGTTATAAGGCAAGTAGTGGAAGTATGCCAGATAGTGCGTTAGGGACCATCCCAGATTTGAGAATGCAGATAAGATGATTGACTTTTAAGTCAGCATAACATCTTGAGCCATTAAAGAATAAGGGGGGTGGGGTGTACTTGGTATAAACTAGAAAAGTGATTTAAATTTATGAAAAGAGTACAGATAGCACATTTATTGGGACCTATTATGTAGTGAACATTCGAGTAGGCACTTAACATGCCCTCATTTCAACTGTTTAACAAGGCAATCTATTTTACATATGAAAGAGGCTCAGAGACTGTGCAGCTTTCCCACGTTTCATACCATTTATTAGCCAGGCAAGGATTCCAGCTTAAGACTTTGTGACTAAGGTGTATCTGTGTTAACAATCACACTGGTTTTCTTTGGATGGAAAACATTTGGAGACATTGGTCTGAAGGCCAAAATAACTGTAAAATGCGTAAGTATACAGAACCAATCACTTTTCACTAAACTTTGAAATTCTGGTCTTTGAAGGTATCTTTTCTAGAATTGAATAGAGAAAATATTTCTTTTGATGGTGGAGAGTTCTATCTTAGAGAATATGGTTGCCTTCAAAGCTAACTGGCTGAAGGATAACAAGTTCAAGAAAGGTTTATATATACTATTGGGTGGCATTTGCAGAGTGGGATTAATCAGACAGACCTAAACCTGGGAGGCTATTAACGTTTTATCCACTTACTACTTCAGTCTGGTCTGAGGACTACTACTGTATCACGTGGAAAGTTGTTAGAAATAGAGTCTCTGTCACTACTGAAGACCACTGAATTAGAACCTTCATTTTTATCAAGGTTCACATACACATTAAAGTTTAAGAAACTGATTAAGATTTTCCACTTTACCATTGTTCATGCAGTTTAACATTCTGACTTCAAGGAAATCTTTGATTCTAATGTTAATATGCAGACCTTGCAATTACTATACAGAAATGCAAAGATTTTTTAAATGATGTCATTTGTAAGGTATCAGAAAGATAAACGTCTTGCTTTAAAAGGCTTACAAAAATGGAATGTTTATCTTAAGGTGTAGTAATTTACTACTGCTGTTGTAACAAATTACCACAAATTAGGTGGTTTAAAACCATACAGGTATTATTGTACAGTTCTGTAGGTCGGAAGTCCGACATAGGGTCTTTCTGTGCTAAATTCAAGATGTTGAAAAAGATGGGTTTTCTTCAGCAGTCTCTAGGGGAAAATCTGTTTCCATGTCTTTTCCTTCCTTGGGAGACCCCTTACATGCCTTGGCTAATGCTCCCCTTTTTCAAACATCTTGAACATGAGCAAGTCAAGGCCTTATATCACTCCCTCCTTCACACATCATAGTGTTGCAGGATTTTTTTTCTCTGTTGGAGCCTGCAGTTCTTGGTCATGCCATTTCAAAGAATGAAGAGTTAGACCAGACAGAGTGGTGGGCATCAAAGCAGGGTTTATTGAGCAATAACAAAGTCATAGTACAAGTTCCCAAAGGGGTTGCCACAGGAGTTTTTTATGGGCTTGTTGGTGGGCTGGTTCAATCTGATTAATTCTCCCTGTACCTGTCATCCAAGCAGATTTTCAGGTCACGTATCTATCTTATGGGAAAGGGTGGAGGCCTCCTTCCAGAGTGATGTAAAATCCTTTTAAGACTGGTTTCCTCTTGGGGGGCAGGGGTTTGTCCCTGCCTGACTGCCTTCCAATAATCCATCAGTAGTACCTGCCTTCCCCCCCTTTTCACTTATAAAGACCTTGCGATTACATTGGGCTCACCTGGATAACCCAGTACAGTCGCCTCATTTTAACACTGATTGATTTGGTGATCTTAACCTCAATACCCTTGAGCTGTGTATCCTAACATTCACAGGCTGTGGAGATTAAGACGTGGACATCTTGGGCCTCCTGGGTGGCTCAGTGGATTAAAGCCTCTGCCTTCCGCTTGCGGCATGATCCCAGCGTCCTGGGATCAAGCCCCATGTTGGGATCTCTGCTCAACGGGGAGCCTGCTTACCCCTCTCTCTCTGAGTGCCTCTCTGCCTACCTGTGATCTCTGTCAAATAAATAAATAAAATCTTAAAAAAAAAAGACATGGACATCTTTTGGAGGGTCATTATTCTGCCTACTAGACTTGGCCATTCATTCCTACATTTATCATTAGTTTCTTTTGGTCTAGGAAAATTTTCCATTTGCCAGATATAAATTCTTCATCCTTGAATCCATATCCTTTTGTCCTATACTCAGTGGAAATGGAAAATGATTATTGGTTACTTTCTTATAAAGCAAACATTTAAAGGTTCATGCATATAAGAGTTGTTGGGTTTGCCTTTTATAGATTTACTGGTCCTCATTTGTTTGTTTTCAGTTCATGTGACCTTCTTGAACAACTGTACACAAAGGCATTCTTGGACTCCTGTCTTTCCCCCCCTTTACCTTCCCTGCTTTTTTGTCTTCCCATTAGAAACTCTTTGAACATTTACATTCATCGTTGTCTTTTTAGACTCCAGAATATGAAAGGGTGATTTCTTATGCTAGAAGCATATGCTAAAAGAAGAAACAGAAAATAAGTAAGAAATTATAATAATAATAATAGAGAATAAGTCACTGGTATCCTGAAGTTTATATAGCTTAATAGTCCTTAGCTCGAGCTCACATACAGAAGAGCTGCTTTTGTTTCCACAGAAAGGAGACAGCTTCCTGGTTTTAGAAATTGGAATTCAGTTTGTAAAGAAATGCTGCTATAAATTATGAATGGGTTAGCTGAATTTATTCTTTTGCTTCTGTGTAAGACCATGCAGGGACCTTAACAGTCACCAAGGTCAGCTCCTTCATTTGTAACTGCAAGATCTCTAGTTTTCTACCAGCTAGTAAAATTCAGACCAAATCTCAGGTCTCCCACTCCTGACTTGTGCAGCTACACAGCTAATGCCATTGGATTTTATTCATCCTTCTTGGCAAATCTAGGAGTGTAACTAACAATTTATAATATCATTTCTATGAAAAATGTGTGCTTGGAAAAAATATGAAAAATGTTTCTATGAAAATGTACTATGCCAAGCATCTAATTTTTTTTAAATAATCCACTTGAAGTGTAGGCTCTTTTTAATAGCTATTATTTCTTTAAAAATATCTTAGTTCCTCTTTGAGACAGTCTTTGGAAGCTTTTTCATATTACTGCATCATTGCTTAAGCTCTAGACCTCAAATTTAGCATATTATTCTAGTAAAGTTTTGACCTGTAATTATGGTAAGGGAGGGTAACTCCCTTTAATTAAGGTAATAAGGTAACTCCCACAGTTACCTTATTAAAGTCGCGTTATTACTTCATAAAGTCACGTTATGAACTTTGTGTGACCTTGAGATACTTACCTGCAATTCCTTCCTTCCTTTTTTTCCCCTTGTAAATAGCTTTATTGAGATACAACTCACATATCATTACAATTCACCCCTTTCAATAATTCAATGCCATGGTTCTTTTTTTTTTTTAATATATATATACACACACAGTGTTGTACAATCATCACCTTAGCACATTTTTATCACTTCAGAAAACCCCTTGTAGTCATTAGTAGTCACTCCCTGTTTTCCTACAAGCTTTCCTGACTATCTCCTCTCCAGTTCTAGGCAACCATTAATCTGCTGTTTCTACGGATTTACCTGTTATCTACATTTCATATAAATGGAGTTATGTAATACGTGGCCTTTTGTGACTGGCTTCTTTTTCAGTTAACGAAGTTTTCAAGGTCCATCCATTTGTAGTCTGTATCAGTACTTCATTTCCTTTTATTGCCAAATACTATTCTGTTTAAGAATTTATCACATTTTGGGGGTGCTTGGGTGGCTCAGTGGGTTAAGCCTCTGCCTTGGGCTTGGGTCATGATCTCAGGGTCCTGGGATCGTGCCCCACATCAGGCTCTCTGCTGAGTGGGGAGCCTGCTTCCTCCTCTCTCTGCTTGCTTCTGATCTCTGTCTGTCAAATAAATAAATAAAATCTTTAAAAACAAAAAGAATTTATCACATTTTGTTTATCTTTTTATTAATTGTTGGATATTTGCATTATTTTCACTTTGGGGCTATTATAAATATTGCTATACAAATTTTTGTTTGCATACATGATTTTATTTTTCCTGGATATATACCTAGGAGTGAGATTGTTGGGTTGCATGGTAACTGCATGTTAATGATGTAGGAAAGACGTTAGGGTTCCAGGTCGAAGGCCAAGACCAAATTCTTGAGACGTCTTGGGTGCAGAAAGGTGGTTGTATTAAAGTACAAGGACTAGAGGGCAGAAAGAGCTGCACGGGGGTCATGAGGAGTGGCCCATTATGTACTTTCAAGTTGGGCAAGCCAGGATCCTGAGGGGGTTAGCTGTTGTTAGGAAAGGTCATTTATTACTGTGTAGTAAAAACTCAATTTGTGAGATCCTTCAGATGTATATCAATGGTTCATATACTTGGGGGATAATTGCCAACATGTATTCTGAGGGGTAGAGATAAAGGAAGTTTCCAAAGGAATTTTTTATATGTGAAAGTAGACTATAGGGGCTTGGGGGTTGGGCTAAGATTGCCTGTTGCCCTTAGCAAAGTATCAACGTAAAGGCAGTTGAGTCCTTAGGAAAATGTGACTCTGTTTCAAGGACTTGTCAGTGGGCTATATGTAGAAAGGAAATTTAATAATTTTTCTTTTGTCTTTGTTTCCCATATCATTAACATTTAGAGGAGCTGCCAAACTTTTCCAAAGTGGCTGCACCATTTTACATTGTCACCTACAATATCTGAGGGTTCCAGTTTCTCTACATCCTTACCAATAGCTGTTATTTTCTTTTTAATTAAAGTCATTCTAGTGAGTATCAAGTTGTATTTCAGTGTATTTCCATAATGGCAAATCATATTAAACATCTTCCCATGCACTTGTTGAGAATTTATGTGCACTTGTTTGTTTTTAAGAAATGTCTATTCACACCCTTTGCCCAGTTTTCAGTGGGTTGTCTTTTTTTAAATTTTGATTTGTAAGAGCCATTTACATATTCTGGGTATAAGTCCCTTATCAGGTAAGTAATCTGCAAATATTTCCTCCATTCTGTGAGTTGTCCTTTCACTTTCTTAATGGTGTCCTTTGAAACACGAAAGGTTGTAGTTTTGGTTAATTAAGTTGCTGCTCATTCTTTCTCATTCTTTTCTTGAGCTCATGTTTGTCAAGTGTTGCCATATACCAGTCCTTGTGCTGGGTGCTGGGAATACAGTTAGGCCATCTAATGAGTTACCTTAACTCTGGCTTGCTTGGTTTCTCTTATATACCACAAGGGTAAGATACCCTTGCTTTATGTGAAGTAAGGATAAATACGCTGATCCAAGTCAGATGGACATATTTTTAGGAATAATTAATGATTATAAAGCATTTGATTAATGAGTTAATCAACAGTTCTGCAAGTATTTGGGTTCTACGAAGGAGTTCTAGGGCTCACTTAGGCTATAATTTAGGGACAACAAATGGCTTCTAGTCCTAAAGTTATAGGAACAAATTAACCAGCATTCTTACCCATAACATCATTGTAGAAATTTCCAGTTTTTCTGTATTTTCTGCTTGTTAGAAGTGGAATGCATGTTGCCATGAACTGATTTATGAACTCTGAGATATTGGTTATAGTATCATACTAGAATCTTTATATAACCTAGTACATTGAAAATATGACAAACTATGGTTAATAAGATATAAACTGAACCTGTTGTGGAGCCGCACCTGTTAATTACTGACTTTTTCCTCAGGGGAAAGAGGCTTGCTTTCTGCAGCTTATGTGGACAGTCACAAGTGGGAAGCAAGAGAAAAAGAACATTGTCACCTCGGTAGGTACCTATTGGGCTCTTAGATATGTCATGTCAGTCACTCTATGTTTACCATTATGTTCGTATGCTATATTTATGAAGTGATGCTTTTATGATGACCCCATTCAGATAAGCACATTTTGAGTCTTAAAAAGAATTAGACTGTTATTTTGCATGTGGCAAAATCATTTTTGCTGTCCTGCAAATTTCTATTTCATTTTTGCCTTGATTAGTCTGCCTAAATTAGGTGAACATTTCTCTTCTTTCTTGTTTTTTGTCCATTTTAGTCATATAGTTAATTACCATGCAGGCTGTCTCTGTTTTATATTATCTGCAGAGAAAGATACATTTTACATTTTCATCCTTTTTTATTGTCATTTCTTAACTTGTGGTCTTTATTTTATTTTCTATTTTATTACCAGTGTTATAATCTCTTTTCTATTTTATTACCAGTGTTATAATCTCATATAAACCATTTAGGGAAAATAGTTGGTGAACATCTTTTCAGGCAGTAGGCTCCTAATTATATTTTCCTTTCCTTGTTCTCTAGGTCATATTACACAGATAGCAGCCTTTCTTTTCTATAGTAACAAGGCCTACAGGCACCTGTGTGGCTCAGTCAGTGAAGTGTTGACTCTAACTCTTGGTTTCAGTTAAGGTCATGATCTCAGGGTTGTGAGATCAATCCCCACATCTGGCTCTACACTCAGCATGGAGTCTGCTTTAGATTCTCTTTCCCTTTCCCTACCCCTCATATCCTCTCTCTGTCTCTAAATAAATGAAATCTCTAAAAGAAGTCACTGACACTATGAGCACTTTGTAAATATGTAATATACATTATATGTAACATCATGAGGACATAGATAAAGTCAGATGATTGGCGATGGTTTTATGGGACTGATGTAATTTTTTTTTTTTTTTAAGATTTTATTTATTTATTTGACAGACAGAGATCACAAGTAGACGGAGAGTCAGGCAGAGAGAGAGAGAGAGAGAGGGAAGCAGGCTTCTTGCTGAGCAGAGAGCCCGATGCGGGACTCGATCCCAGGACCCTGAGATCATGACCTGAGCTGAAGGCAGCGGCTTAACCCACTGAGCCACCCAGGTGCCCCGACTGATGTAATTTTTTGATCAATTCCAGTGCTGATCTAATATTCTCCCCCAGATTTCTTTCTCTGCTTTTTTTGGGCTTATATAAAGAATAAAGTATCCCCATGTTTATGGATTCTTCTAATAAGTGGTGGGGAGGGAGGAGAGAGACATTCCTTTGTAGCTGTCTATAATGGCTAGCTTGGGCTGGGGAGGGGTTTCAAAGAACTTATCATTTTCTCCCCTGATGATGTTATTGCAAGAGCAAAATTGATTTGTACCTTCTGGAATGGCTATGTAGGCAGGGGCTAATAAGCAAAGCAGAGCTGTGGAGAATCTGAAGGTAAGTAACTACGTACTTGCACTGAAATGTAGAATCACTGAGTAGATAAAAATGCGGATGGCTACAGATGTGGTATGCTGGTAAAGTCCAATATCAGGAGTGACATTATCGTGTGGGACACAATTTTATTCACAAAATTGCGAACACTCTCAATAAAGTTTTGAACATATCTAATTACCCTCTTCAGTTTACATGGTAGTTGCATCTATGGAAGATTCAGCTTATTTTCAGATTTCGCCCAAAAAAGTACTTTGCCTTTGTTTATATGTAAAATGGAATCAGTTCTGTCCATTATCAACAGGTTGATTTTTTTTTTTTCGTGTTAATGCCTGCCCTGTTGTAGATGCCATGGTATGTGGGGCAGATATTTTAACTTTTTATTTGTAAATAGTTTTAAACTTACAAAAACTTGTAAGAGTAATACAAAGAGCATCTATATACTCTTTGCCCAGATTCACCAGTTGTCATTATTTTGACCCTTTTGTTTTTGCTTTCTCATCTTCTACACACACATTTTTTTTTTAACCATTTGAGAGTTTGTTACATATCTTATAGCCCATTAAGCAGAGTGCTTTGGTGTACACTACCTGATATTTTTTAAGAAGCCAGTCTCTTTTTTTAATAGAATATTCCTTTTGGGGATTTGTCTTGTATTTCTTCTTAATTAGATTCAAGAAATGGTACTCTGGCCAAAATATTGTCGGTAATGTTGTGTCCTTCTCAGGATGTCTTCTCATCTGGAGACACCTGATGTCCATCTGCCCTCACTGGTAAGGTTAACTTTGATCACCCAGTCAAGTGTGTGTGATTGTTTACCCTGGAGGGTTACTGTTTTTCTCCATTGTGACTAATGGGCAATCTGTGGGGAGATACTTTAATATCATGCCAGTGTCCTGCTGCTTATCAAAAGTTTCCCCCTAAGTTTAGTATCCATTTAGCTTCTTGCCTGAATCAATCCTTACTATGGTGGTTGCAAAATGATGGTTTTCCAATTCGTTAATACCTCCACATTTAGTAACTAGTACTCAGTATTATAATGTAAATAAGAGCGTTCCATTCCCTCCCATTTCTTTCTATTAGTATGGTCTTGGGTATTGTGAATTCCTCTTTTTCTTTTAATGATTTATTACCATCCTTGTTATTTATATAACAAATTTATATAACAATTTATAAATTGTTCCAGTATTGGGTGGTAGAAGTCCTTTCAACCTGACTCATCTTGTACCTTTCCTGCTCCAGCCCTGGAATTAACTATTTCTCCAAGGAGTCCTGGTTCCTTTTCATAAGGAATGGTATTAGAAACCAAGATCTGTGCACTAGTTGTCCTCTTGCTACCGTGCAGTTTTTGCTTCTTGGCCTATTCAGTGACTAGAACTAGGAAAAATATATATACATAGCCACATAAACATATATGCACATATACGCACATAAGCTTATGTGAACATATTTTACAAATAATAAGTTCATCCCTACAGAATTCTTCCTTGCCTTCCCTAGGCTATAGTTGTATCAGCTTTCTATACTAAAAGTCTGGCTCCCAACAGGGACAACGTTTGATGTGTTGGACAGTCTCTGTATTGCAGGTTATCTAATTTTCCTATCTTCTGCTCATGCAGTACTCCCTGCAGTCGTTGTGATAGTCAGAAAACGCCCCCCTATTTTAATTACCCTCTGGGGTTCTTTTTAGGAACCACTGGTCCAATGATGAACCAACAGCTTGTTCTGATATGCCATTCACGAACTGTAAGAGTAGTGCTGTGGAAGTGCAGAGAAGAAAATGAAGAATTTTGGGAAAGCTATTTCTAACACTTTCCTAGGCATGAAGGGAAGATTAAAAAAGACTGTTGTATTTGGTGCCTTGGTATAGGATATAGTCAGCTCTTTGTTATTAGGGTACAAATTTATGGGAACTTTTACATAGATTCCTGAATAAGCAGAAGCTGTTTGCCAAAGAATGAGTATAGTATGTCTGCAATAAATAAATATCAAATGTAGATAACTAGACAGTTATTAAGATTGGTATACTTGGTATACTGGGAAAAGCAGTAACAACTACCATTTACTGAAGACTACTATCCTTGAATACCCTCTGTACATCTTGAATCTCTATCCAGGCAGAATTGGCTTTTTTCCTCACCCTGTATTCTCACAGCATTTTATACCATCGTTGTGCCATTTGATGTGAAAAGTCGGCCCTTGGGGGTCAGACATCGATGTGAGCCCTAGCTCAGCCAGCTTTCAGAGCTATGTCATTTAACCTTGTTCCTGTAGCCATAAATTAGGGATGACGATAATGCCTGCCTCAGTTAATACCCCACCATATAACAGGTGCTCCAGAAATGTGGAATGAACGAATTTCTAGGCCCCTTGATTCTACTCCTTTATAAAACATTAGGGTATGAGTAAGGTTTTGAAACTCAAACTGCTTGGGGGGAAAAAAGAGGCTCTTAGAAACAGTGTTTTTTTTTTTTTTTCTGCTGTGTAACAAAATGTAATTAAAGCTTTCGCGCCTGTGTGATATTACTGCATGTACTTCCTAACCCTTGAGTGGGTTGAGATGTGTGTCTCGAGAATTCAGTCACTGAGCCTGAGGCTGCATCCCGTTGATCGTGCAGTAGGTGGCAGCGCCGCCTCTGCCGGCACCGCTGCGCAGCCTTTGGAACCTGGCGTTTGGGTGCGGACCTTTCCGGAAGCCGCCCCCGTACGCGCTTGCGCGGGGTGCTGCCTTTAGCATGTGGAGCGCTGTGATTGGGCGCTGCGACCTGGTGCGAGCTCGCTGATTGGAAGGAGGAGGAGCGGCGATATGGGGCTTTTACTCCGCGCGTCTCCATTGGAGGGCGTGGGGTGGAGTGGAGCGGGGCTGGAGAGGGAAGATGCCTGGGTGTGGGTGTGGGGCTTAGGATTCCATCTGCTTAACTGATTTCGCCTCCGCGTGGAGTACTTGCCTCGGAGGTTGGGGGCGGGGGAGAGGCTATATTCGGTATTTTCTTTGATGGGTGTGAGGCTCTGGTGCCTCTGTGTTCAGTCTCATTAGTGGTTTTCTATTAAGAGCCTTGGGGGCGGGCTAATAGGGATCTGTCCAGCTCCCAGTATGAGAGTAATTTATTGCTACGGAGCTCTTTAATTAAAACCAGGAGTGCTGTTTAGTACCTACACTGCATTTTAGGGATCAGGCAGGCCATGAATGCAGGGCAGGTCCTCTGACATAAGAATCAAAGTAACCTTCATTCCTTGCTAGTTCTTTCGTGAGCACTTTCTAGGTGCCATCCCATTTAATGCTCTCAACAGCAAGCTAATGCAGCTGCTGCTATTTCCCCTTAAGGATGAGGAAACTGAGGCTGTTTTCTGACACTTAGGGCCATTGCCTTTACGCTGAAAAACCGCTTTCTCAGTGATTGGTGTAGAACCTTCATTCCTACCATAGTGTCTTCCTTTGGACTGAACAGTGGATTTCTTGCTTTTTAAGATATACATTTTGGGCAGGGTATTGCTATGATGAGTGCTGTGAAATGTGTAAACCTGGCGATTCACAGACCTGTACCCCTGGGGATAAAAATACATTATATGTTTATTAAAAAAATAAATTTAA